ACAGCCATTATTGTTATTTGTTACATTTATTGTAATAATGTTTTTGGAAAAGTATATAATGAAACCATTTACCTTTTTTACAAGGTGGTCACAATTAATCTTTTAAACTTTTTCTAAAGAGCTGCCTAATGAAATAAAAATTTAAAAGCTAACCCTTATATGTAAATTGTGATCATTTGCCCCCTAGTGATTTTAAGGGGTTTCATGCACTCAATTGATATTTCTCCTTTTTAATAGTAAATTATAATAAATTTTTAGTAAATTTCTATGCTTTGAATATAGTTAACAACCGATTGTCAATTTTCTTATCACAAATTATCGAGTTTCTTCAAATGAATTACAATTTTTATGTTCTTAAAGCTTTAAGTGGAATCTATCATATTCTGTTAATAATTATTCTTTTTTGGGTAAATCAATAGTTAACAATTATTCTCCATATACTTTTATACAAAAATGAAAAATAAAAATAAAATAAATAAATTGAATTGTGGAATTATAAGATTTTTAAATTTTTGAAATAAAAATTAACACGCGAAGCATGTGCATGATACTACTAGATATTATATTAGGATTTACTGTAATTTTTCTTAAATAAAACAAGAGAAAAATTTAGAAAGTTAAGAAAAAGAGTTAGATTAATTACTATATATGCCAGCTGATGGATCGAGCCGTGCAATGTAACAAACAAAGCCTCACACAAAAATTGTGAAATTCTACCATAATGTCGATGCTTTGGCACTTTACCAGTACTTTGGCATTTCATAAAAGTAGGGATGGTAACGGGTCAGGTAGGGGCCGGGCTGGATCCAAAACCGAAAAATGTTTATGGGACTTGGAACCGGCCATGAAAATATTACGTGGATCCAAACCCGAGCCCCATCCAAAAATTAAAATATCTACGTATTTAACTATATTTAAAAGAAAAAGTTTATATAAGGTTGTAACTTTAAAATGTAGAATCACATATGCACCTCAAAAATCTATTGGAAAGAATATTTTAATGTTGAAAAACCCTCTAATTTTCTAGTGTATCAAAACTAGTGCATCTTGCAACACATTATCTAGACAGTCCATTTTCAAGATTTTCATATGTTTATAGGTCTATTTGATTTTAACCATTTTTGAAGTTTAAAATTTCTAATTAGATATGAAAACAGTTTTTAAGATAATCTTAAAAAAAATTTACAACAAAATTATATGTTATGATAAAATTTGGATGTGCACCTTAATTGCATTGTTTAAAGTTGCAACTTTATAGAAACGGCACCCATATTTAAATATATTTCTTAAATTGAGACCCAAAAAATATTACTGGACCCGAATCGTGCTCAAGTCTAAAATTTGGACCCAACCTGCCGAATCCAATTTTCAAACCCATTTCGGGATCCGGATTGGGTGTACCCCTTGGGTCCCGGGTCCATTGCCACCCCCACATAAAGAAGCTTAATTTTAGTGGATTTGGAGCGAATTTCAGCTGCATGACCCACGGTCTTCAAAGTTTATTGAGAAATTGCTCAAAACAATAAATGAAGTGTTCATCCTTAATTGAATGCAGGAAAGATATGGAGCAAGATAACATTTTATATCGAGAAAAAGGATTTTAATAAAAAAGCACTCACAGGCATTCAATTGTGATTTCTTTAAATTGTCTATTTATGGGATTCAAAAGTGAGACATAGAAACACGCTTATAGACCATGATGCTATTTTCAAAAAAATTAAAATAAAATACAATTATGCTTTTTTGGATGTAAAACATAGTTTTTCAAAAATCCATCAATGATTCTCTATGAATTGCACTATATCAAATGGGTAATATCCCTCCACAACACTTCCAAAGAGTATCCCACCTTGAAAATAAGGGAAAATATCATTTAAAGAGTTATAACCCTTTATAAAATCATTGAAGGAGTCGAAACATCCCAACTAAGATATTAGGGAGTTTACCTTTAATTGTCATTTCACTCAAGTCTCTACCTAAGGTCTAATATGGGTGAGAACTTTAAACTTTTTTTTGATTTGTCCCAAGCTCGGATAAAGGAAATGGGTTGTGTTAGGTAGGCAGCCAACGTAAAACTTTGTCATATCTTTTTATGAATATGGAAACAATGTTGAAGATTAAAAGGGTATGGTTCATGTAGCCAACCCCAAATAATTGAAATAAGGGTTAATAATGAAACTTTAGGGATGTAACCTCTTCAATCATAGACTAACCTCTGTTAAAAAAAATCTAAATTTAAATCTCTATCATTAAAGAATAATGTCTCAAGATTGAACATAAATCATCACTTTTTTTACTGAGAGAACTAAGTATCAAAAACCTCAAATTTCAAATATAATCTTTTGAAAATAATCATATTAGGTAGTTCCCAAAATTTCATACGAAAAAAACTTCCCGAGTAGATATTTTGATTGAGAGAGTAGATGCACATTATGCTCCTATAGAAGCATAATATAATATGCATACTCAACTTTAAAGTTTTGATATGTAGAACATAAGGAAAATGAAATGGTTTTCTAACTCATACTAAAATTTACAATATTCAGGAACGCGGTTCGAGCTTGAAATTTACAATAATCTCGGGTCAAGTCTACGACTCCCCTAAGTAGTATACACGGTCCAAAAAAAAAAAATTCCTTTAAAATAAAAATAAGAAATATTTTTTTAAAAAGTATTAAAGTAAGTAAAATAAAAATATATTAAAGTCATTAATTATAGGCTCTTTATACTAAACGTGAATAGTCTTATTGTATTTTTTTCTATATACCAAATCTTAATTTAGAAAAAAATAATTTATAAATGAAGATATTTTAGAAAATTTAATAAAAGAGTAAATATAAAAATAAAATATATGGTAAGAAACACTCACAAATCATCATAAAAAATACAAAAATTATATGTTAAATATTTATATGTAACTTTTGCAATTTGCATAAATTTTATAAATTGTTTATTTTTATAACACCCAAAAGTTTACTTAAATGCTTGGCTAAGGCAAAGGCTGGCAATCGGGCCAGGTGCCCTGGCCTTGCCGTTATTCCCATAGGCCCAAAAATTGGAGGAAAAATAAAAAGGATAAAGTTGTGTTAAATATATATTTAAAGGAAAAAGTTTATATAAGGTTGCAACTTTAAAATGTAGAATTACATATACAGCTCAAAAATCCATCAGGAATGATTTTTTTAATGTTGAAAAACACTCTAATTGATCATCTCGACAACGAGATGTATGAATATGGCAAAAAAAGGATTTTGAGTCTCCGAAATAGTGCAGCTTGCAACACATTATCTAGACTGTACATTTTCAATATTTTTCATATGTTTATAGATATACTTGATTTTAACTATTTTTAGAATTTTAAAATTTTATAATTAGATCTAAAAATAGATTGTGGACTAATCCTCATAATTTTTTATACCAAAACTACATGTTATGATAAAATTTAGAGAAGCACCTTAATTGGATTGTTTAAGGTTGCAACCTTATAGAAACCACACCCATATTTAAATGGGTGTAGTTTGCATACGGATGCATCCGTAGGTGTAGAGGTAAGGTGGACCTTCAAATTTTATCATGGTATGTAATTTTGATGTAAAATGTTCTTAGGATTATCTCAAAATCTGATTTTAGATCTAATTATAAAAATTTTAAATTTCAAAATGGTTAAAATCAAGTAGATCTATAAACATATGAAAATCATGAAAATAGATGGTGTAAATAATATGTTGTAAAATGTACTATTTATAAGAATTAAAATCTTTTTATTTTTCATGGCCATATATCTCGATGTCGAGATGATCAATCAAAGGGTTTTTAAACATTAAAACTACCTTTTTCGATTGATTTTTGAAGTGCATCCGTAGTTTTACATTATAAGGTTTCATCCTTATCTAAATTTTTTCTTATTTAAATATATCTAAATATTATGTTAAATATATATACATGTACTATCTAAAGGATAAAATTTTGATAAGCCCTAGGCTTTATGAAAATAAAATAAAGCCTCACCACAAATCCTCATTGGGAAAGCATTTGCAATATCAGAAATCTTCACGATGGCTCTAAAATCAATTTCTACTACCAACAATAAATTTTGAAACTTAAAAAATGGTCCACATCTTGGATATGTGAACACTTATTTTTAGCACGAAATGGATGGTTTAGATGATTTGTTGCAATGCACTATTTTTAGAACTTAAAATCCTACTTTTTTTTTCACTACTATAATGTTCAAGCTGAGATGATCGATTTAAAGGTTTTTTAACACTTGAATTACAATTTTTGATGAGTTATAAGGTGATGATATACTTATTTTGTAAAGAAAAAGTATACAATGGGACTATTTATCTTTGGTAAAAGGTGGTCACAATTAATTTGACATTTTGATGTAAAATTGGATGGCTGAATTTATTCCATTAATTAAGCTCAAACTTCAAGTGAAATTTTTTTGAACTTTGTGACACACCCAAGCTATTAGATTTCATATGTGATGGTCATCGAAAATTGTGACCACCTTGTATTAAAGGTAAATCTTCTTATTGTATACAATCAGCCCTGTGAAACTATTTTTGTTATTTAAATATTATAACTAAAAAGAAATGACATTATGAGACCCTTCCACACTCATGTGAGTAGGCCCCAAAGGATCACCATTAAATTTGATACAAATCTCTAGAAAAATTATCACATAGGTGTGAGACTTGACTTTTCTAGTGATGTGTTACAAATTTGATGGTGATTCGAAATCCTACTCACATGGGTGTAGGAGGGTCTCATAAGATCATTACTCATAACTAAAATATATAGCTATATTTATTTAAATAATATTGAAATAATATTACTATTCGGTCGGATCAGGTCGACAAAGACTCGAATAGAATTGTCGCCAGGCCCTATGGACTGCCCGAGGGTGCAAGTATACAGTATGATCCTGTAAGGAACATACTTTACCTGCAGATGTTCAAAACCGGTAAATATTCCATTTAGCAGAGAATTGGATTTTCCCTCGTTTCTCCCGTCTTCAATCGAAACCTCCTTGGCTTTCCTTCTTTCCCAATTCATTCAAATTCTCAACTTTCAGAGGTTGCCAAAGTTGAAACACTCTTAAAATTATTTGGGTTTTTCAAGAAACTAAACATTGGTTGCTTTTATTGGGGAGAAAATACTGGGAAAATCACTGTTTCCAGATGCGTAATTATAGTGAATTATGCATTTTCCATGAAGAGCAATTGATCCCTTTCTTGTCTTGAGATTTCTCTCTCTAACCTTTGAAGACACGTAAGTTTCATATATTCTGGCTCTTATTTTGAGTTCTATTTCTGAGGGTTTTTTTTTTTTTTTGTAGAGAGTTTAATTGCTTTGGGCCTTAACTGATTGTAATTTTTGTGTATTCTGATTATTATATTGATTATTTGTTAAGATGTTGTTATTGCATGGAATTTTCCGTTTTAGACTGTAACTAATGGTGTCTTTGATTGTTCGTGTTCTGGTTTTGATCCAGGTGGGAATTTATTTAATGCGACACAGTTTTCAGCCAATTTTGGCGATGAATTTTGTGTTAGATGAGATTGAATCTTAATTGGGTTTTTCGAACTTGGGGATTCGTAGTGAATGGAGTTCAGGCATAGGCAGGTTCTCTTACAATTTTCTGAGAATTTAATGGTGGTTTCTGAATTTGGTGAACTGGGGTAAAGAATAGATGTTTAATTACGTTGAGTCGTTTATTGTTTAATTGGAGTTATCTGTTATCTACATTGAGTTCCACTCCGATTTTAGATTCAGAGGAACTGATGTGAAGAGATGAGCTCGGTTGCTTGATTTGTTGGAGATTAGAAGGCTACAGATTTTGGTTTCTGCTAAATTGCTGGTGGTTTTTTCATTTTTCTGGTGAAAGTATTTTCTCTCTTTCTGGTTTGATTGGTTGATATTTGGTTCAAGAAAAAAGTGCATTGCCTCTATTTGGACGAGATTTTTGTGGAATTCATCATGTACATCGAAGACCTAGATGCAAAGAGAGCATTGGTAGGAGCAGGGGCTCGAGTTCTATTCTATCCAACATTGCTTTATAATGTTATTCGTAATAAACTTCAGTCTGGATTTCACTGGTGGGATGAAGTTGATCAGGTACTATTTCCTTTCTTTTCCTTTTATATTCTTTTGTTCATCTTTTTACTTTTAATATTTAATGTTATAGATATTATTTGGAAATCGGAGAAGCACTTTGCTATTATCATGATGCTATACTTTCATAATGGGTGACATACAGTTTCACTGCATTATGTGCCTTTGGCATGGTTGGTACATAGTGTTTCTATCTTTTCAATTTAACATCATTTTGTGTATATGTCTTTTTCCTTTTTTTTTCAATTTAACATCATTTTGTGCATGGTTGGGGGATTTGTTAAGACATATCTGCATTTTTGGAAAAGTCACTCAAAGATAGTCTAATCTGGAAAGGCATAGCCATCAGGGAGTCAGAAGCAAAAATTCCTTTTTTTAAAAAACAAAAAAAATGAAGCAGGCCTATTGGGCTTTTGTAAAGCCTGAGACCAGTAGTTGTGCTTTTGTAAATTGCATGATCTGATTGGGAGCTTCTGAAGCACAGCATTGATGGAAATTGTCTAGCCCAAAAAAAAAATTTCTGAATTTGACGGGTTTTCTCATGCTGTACTAAATTTTTGTTTCCTTTGCATTCATGCTGGTGGCTAGCCTTAAAACAACACCTACATGATGACAAGCGATCAAATAATGAGGACAAGAAAAAAAAAAAAAATTAGGGAAGTTCTGTGCATTGTCACCTTTCCCAAAAAGGAAAAAAAAGAAGAAGAAGAAAAAGAGTTCTGATTGATGTAGAGATTGTTTGAATTGACAAGGCTGTCTTTTACAATTAATAAAGTCCACAGAAATAGAAACCTTCGTGGGTAGGGTCAGGAAATTAACATCCAGCTGTAGAGTGCTCCTGCAAGCCATGTCATAGTGCTATTATCTGATACTATTCATTTTTTCCAATCATTCAAGCATTTATAAAACGAGCCCCTCAACACCCAAATGGATTACTTGGGTTGCCTTGTCTCAGTACTCCATGATTCAATGACAGGTTGTGCCATGACGTTGCAGTTGCTCCATGTTTCTCGTTTTTTGAGCTGTTGTGATGCTTCTGTTGTATGGGGACTTTAAAATGGTTATCCCTTGCTCTTTCAACAATTCAATGTCCAAGAAGTTAATTGTTAACAATTTTATTTAGAAAATATGTTAGTTGTGATCTTAAACATGACCATATATCGTGATTGATTGCTAAACACCTGTTTTGCGTATTTTTCTGAAATCTGGTTGGATTCTCTGATTTGGCTTGTTGTTCAATGTCCTTATGTTATTCCATTTGGCTGATGTAGATATTCTACAGTGGTATTAATAATCTTCCTCTTCAGTATCTTTTGCTAGGTGCCGTTCCATTTCCTAAAGATGTACCACATTTGAAGGAGCTTGGTGTTCAGGGGGTCATCACACTCAATGAGCCATACGAAACATTGGTTCCTACGTCCTTGTACCGAGTATATGACATACACAAATTTTATTTTTTTTCATTGTTATAGCATGGATCACTTTAAAGCTATGTGATTGTCTGGATTTAGGATTTTGCCATTTCTCTTTCCTTGGGTCTAAATGATGTGTGCCTCTATTTCTTGTTCATTGTTGGATCTTCTTTGCATATATATCCATGGTCTGCACTTGGAAACTTTATACACAGAATGATTGCCTGCAGTTTCTATATTTTAGTCCTCATCCTGATGGTTTGATACTCACGGTCTTTGCTGTGATGAATCATGCGACTTTTGTGAAAGGTTTGGTGGAATTTTTATTCTTTACTAGAATTATAATTTACACTTTCCATTTAATAGTCAGGGAGAGTTATCATCCTTCCCACCATAGATTCTATTCTTGTGCTCCTGCTATCTTTCCCTTTTCATGTAAGACCCCAATGCTGATGTTGTTTCATGTAACTGATTTCGGTTGGCATTTTTTAAGCTTCTCATTTTATGATGGTGGGCCTCATTTGGGGCTATGTTGTGTTGCTTGAAATCCAAATGGGCATTGTTTTTGCTTGCATTTGTAGCACCTAACAGGGATTTTAAACCTGCCTCACTAGCCAATAGTTTTGTGGAACAAAGAAGACGTTTTTTTTTAGCTTGAATTCTATGTTTTGAATTTGACATCTCACCTCCACGTTTAATTTAGATTTTTGAATGGCCTTCTTCTTCATTAGCATCATCTTCCTTCTTATTCTTGTTTCTTCTTCTTCTTTCTCTATCTCCTCTTCTTCCTCTTCTTGCTCTTTCTCCTCTTCTTCGTCCTCTCCTTTGTCTTCCTCTTCTTCTTCTTCTTTTTCTTCTTCTTCTTCTTCTTCTTCTTCTTCTTCTTCTTATTCTTCTTCTTCATCCTCTTCTTCATCCTCTTCTTCTTCCTCTTATTCCCTTTCTCCTTCCTCTTCTTCTTCCTCCTCCACGTCTTCCTCCTTTTCCTCATCTCGCTTTTCCTCCTCCTCCTTATGCTTCTTCTCCTTCTCCATCTTCGTCTTCTCGCTGTTCCTCTTCTTCGTCTTCCTCTTTCTCTCCTTCATTTTCTTCTTCTTCTCCTCTCCTTCTCCTGCTTCTTATTCTTATACTTGTTCTCCTTCTCCTTCTTCTTATTCTCTTTCTACTTCTCCTACTTGTGTTGTTCTTCTTTCTTCCAATTTGCAGCAAGTTCTCAATCGTTTTTTATTTATTCAAAGTCCATTGCTGTACATGTTACATATCTCATTTTCTGCTCCATCTTTTGAACTTCTGCTCATAATCAAACACATGAATTTTCTATTGGTATATTTTTGTTGACTGTTTCCAATTTCTCCACTATCGAGTGACCAGCAATCTCACTCTGTCAGATGTGAACTGTGTCATATCAAGCAAAGTTTTGTTATTTCTTGATTTTATATCTTGTAGATCCAGAATATCATTATGGTAAGGAATTGCCAGCTCTTGTTCTCTGATTCCACATTTCAAAAAAAATTTCTGGTATGGAAAGAGAAGGTGAGTCTTAAATTGATCCTTTCCGAGGGTTGTACTGACCTTTCTGTAAAAGGATGACATGTGAGGCAAATGGCCCATCTGACCTCGATTTAATGATGTTTACAAGTACATGACGAAGCATAAATACAAGTATTGAGTCTTGAATGAATTTCAAAGTTTGTGCAGTCAGATATTCTGCCTTCGGGCAGATTAACTTGAGTCTGCAACAGCGGACAAGGCTCAGTAATCTTAAGAGTCCTTCTCTGATGTGCCTGAAGCTAAATGTTTATAGCATCAGTAATAGTTGAGACAAGTTTATCTGGCCTTGAGTGCATTTCAAGGCATTCTATATATCTTATTATAGGTATTCCAATAGGTCTTCCGTTCTGGGACTTGGATGTATCTTTAAAGAGCATCAGTCATTATATATGGAATCGAGTTTTGACAGAGCCATTTGCTTTGGTTGTCATTTGTTGAGGATGATACTGTAAATGCTGTCATCTGCTTGAGAATGGGATCTCCATCTAATCAAGATACCAACTGGAGATTATTTGTTTTGATGAGATTGTCAGCCACATTAGGATTTGAAGCAGATGGACTTTGGATATTTCGCTATGGAGCAAAGTCCACACTCCCACTCCCTTATTTTTTTGATGTCTTCTCTAGCAATTATATCTAGCTTTTATCAGTATGCATTTTTCTTCTCTCTCTTCAAATTGGTCATGAGACTTGTGATGTCTGTGTATAATACAATATTGGTTGAGAGTTATTCATTGGAGATGGATTCATTTATGTAAAATATCTTATCATTTCTAGTTTTGCTGGTTCGGAATCACCTCACTAGCTTCTTCTATTGGGTATGCGCAGAGACCCAAGATTCAGACGGCTCAGCGGTAAAGGCTTTAAGCCTATTTGTAGCATCCACACTCAGGAAATACTTACCATTAGCAGTGGTACCTAGACACCTTCACATTTCCCATTGTTGCATATTGACACAGGCACTTGTTGACACATGTAGACATGCCTCCAATATTTGGACTGTACATGTTAGGTGAATTGTGGCCCCAGTAGTTCGTCTCGATATTTCTAACAGAAGTGTTGGCTTTTAAGATGTGCCACATCCCTTTTTATATTGAAAAGAACAACCCGAGACCCCTTTAATAGGGTGGTGTGCAGTCACATGGGCTATGGGTCATTATTGATGATAAATAAGTAGGAGTTTTTTAATAGGTCATGCTAATAAATTAGCATACGACCATAAATTAAAAAGCTTATGTATTGTAAATACCCAGCCCCCAGGTTTGAACTCAAGACCTCATAAAGCGTTTGTAAGGTCTACCACTGTGGAAGTCACTCTAATAGGTGCAAATCTTGTGTATCTTTTATTATATAATAATAAAAAGCGTTATTTAATATATAATATAATACAAAATGTACCTCTTGGGATTCAAACTCAGTACTTCTTTACAGTAAAAAATGAGCTTTACTGCTACACAGCAATGTGGCACAAAAAATATTTAATTATATTATGTAAAGCTAATTCAGTATGTGTATGTAGATATTATAGGTTCAAGATTTATGATAAGTTTTGGCAAAGTTTTACATTGGCTGCCTACCTAATACAACCTAGCCCCTTTAACCGAGCATGGGATGGGTTAAGGGAATGTTTAAGATCCTCACCCTTCTTAGACCAATATACCCATAGAATGAGTGTAGTGGAGATGAGGTTGTTGAGATAGATGAATGGCAAGACAAGAATGGATGGAATTTGAAATGAATACATTCGAAAAAATTTAAGTGTGGTACCAATAGGCGATAAGATGAGAGAGTGTAAACTTAGGTGAGCTGGCCATGTGTGGTGTAGACCCAGTACATCACCTGTTAGGAAGTGCGAATTAGTTAATAGTGGAAGGCTCAACAAGGGCAAGGGGTAGGTCCAAAAGGACATAGTTGGAAGCAGTAAGAAAAAATATGGGGAGTTATAGCCTCACTTAATAGAGCAGAATGGCGGTCTAGGATTCATGTAGCCGATCCCAATTAGTTGGGAAAAGGTTTTGACGATGACAATAATGATGATTAAGTATGTGTATGTAAATACATGTCTTGCCGTATCAGATTTTTTGAACGAATAATTAGACACCTAGACGCTTGTAGGTACTAACGCTTGTGTTGGTATCTATGCTATGTCTCATTGAACATAAGTATCCCAAATTCTCAATACCAATTTACCCTTATATGCCCAAAAGCAATGCAACTTAGATAAAATTCGACACCTTAGGCTATCGTAGAACTCAAAACCGTCAAAACTCATGTAAATCAAGATATGTCCTATACCAAACCATAGGGGATGGAATGAGATCTCCAATGGTCAAAGAACTAATCAATGCTAACTTAGCAAAGATACGATTGGTTTATTAGACAAAGATGGAAATGACACAAATCCTATTGCAATGGGATGCAATTATGGCAATACAAGTAATGCCACCCATGAATTTTTACGTGGCTCACTTTTAGAAGCCTCTACGGGTTTCTAGGTCTTATCCACACACTTTGGAATGCGTTGGCAACACAAGTTATGCCACCCATGAATTTTTAAGTGTCTTGCATCTAAAAGCCTCTAGGGGTTTTTAGGGCTTATCCACCCATTTTGGAATGTGTTTTGATTATTCATCCAAGTGTTCTCTCCAAAAGCATGAGTCCCCCATTTACCTCCACGTATGCCAAGGTTATTAAGACCAGAGTGGACCGGCCTGACAGGACAGGAAATCGATGGTCTTACCGATCGGATTGGGAGTCTGATCAACATCAAATTATCCGGTCCTAAAATTGGTCCAACATGAATTTTTTTTTTTTATTGGTCAATTTTCATCAATTTGGGTGGTTTTTGTTGACATTTTAAACATCTTTAGAGGTGTTTTGATCCTTTTCAATATTTCGTAGGTTTTGAGGGTTTATATCAATCAATCAACCCAATCAACCCTATTTCAAGCCCCAAATTTTGTTTGTTTTGTACTGCCCCAAGTTATCTATCTAGCAACTCAATCAGCCCTATTTCAAGTCCCAAATTTTGTTTGTTTCATTGTTTTAAAATGCGCCCGCATATGTGGTCGCATCAAGCGCTATGTACCACCCAGCGCATCGCACTTTCTCGCATATGCGGTTTGGAGAGATGCGCTTGCATCAGAGCCGCATCCCTCCGCATCAGAGCCGCATCCCACATTGACCGCATCAGGTCGCATAATCTGTCCGCCATTTTTTCAAAACTGTACCCCTCAAACAAGGAAATAAGGTCATTTTGACCTTTGAAAATGGGGGGAAAGGGTTTGGGGGGTGTACTAAACCACTCAAACAACATTTTTCAGCCACATCCATGGCTTTTATTGGATCGATTGAATCAAAAAAAAAATTTGGGCGGAAATTTTATTTGTTGAAGTTCTTTGATTTGTAATACAAGATACTACAAACTAAAAGTCCATGAAGATTAAAAGTTGCAAATCAAAGAACTTTTCCTTGTACTTTTCAAATAAAATTTGTAACTTTAAAGAGTTTCGTGGACTTATACAGTAAAGTTACAAATTAATGAGTTTAGAAAATTTATTGATCTTCATAAATGCTCTGATATAGTAAAGTTATAACATTTTTATAAATTTATAAAGTTTATAAAAAGTATACAAATTGAGTTGAAGAACTTCATGGACTCTTTTCAAGATTAAAGAGTTCATAAAATTTGTAACTTTAAAGTTTTTGGTTGCTGATTTGTGCTTATGGTTGTTGATTGTTGAATGTTTTATGAAGCTAGTTTCAAGTTTCTAGTTTCTATCAGGCGATAGTGGATACAGAATTTCCGACAGCTAATACTTTTGGAGTTAATAAATAATCTAAATACTTACTTTCACATATATCACGTTCGTATTTTTTTTCAATGCATTAACCTATTTTTTTAGATTTTTTAGAATTTTTAGAATTTTTTTATCTTTATTGACCGCATCACCACGATGCTCCGCATCCGGACCGCATAGAGCCGTATCGGCCCCCCCAACGCTTTTGGCCGCATCCCGCATTTTAAAACACTGGTTTGTTTTGTATTTAGCCCCAAGTTTTATTTGTTTTGTATTTAGGAAAATTACAAAATAAATTCTGAATTCTAGGGTATGTATCTATCGAGCAACTCAATCAGCCCTATTTCAAGCCACTATCTATCTATCTATCAACTCAATCAACCCTATTCCAAGCCCCAAGTTTGTTTGTTTTGTATTTAGAAAATTAGAAACTAAATTCAGAATTTTAGGGTATCTATCTATCTAGCAACTCAATCTGCCCTATTTCCCCGTGTTTTGTTTGTTTTAGAAAATAAATTTTGAATTTTGGTTAAAACATTGGTCGAAAAGCTAGCTAGAGCCAGTTTGAACAAGTCTGATGCTAGACAAACTGGGAAACCGGCTGTCAAATAGTGAACCTGCCAGTTTTTTGGGTGAATAGAACCTGCCAATTAAATAAGTCAACATGCCATCTAACATTCTTTGTCCTATTTTTGTAATCTTTTTGTTATACTGGATTTTATCAGGCCAACCGCTTCTATTTGACCTCTAATCCCGTGTCAAAACATAGTCCATGATTGACATGAGTTATGGTTAGCTTTGCATTTTAAAATACATTCGTTAAAGGACAAGCTTGTGTACAGCTCATAGTGATTGGATGATAAGAGGCCTCTTCAACGTAGGTTTTTCTTAATAGTAAAATATGTAGCATTTTATTGGTAATTAAAATTGCTTATTTAAAAATTATGTAGTTTCTATTTTTAAGGACATGGTCCAATATCTTGTGTGCTATATATTATTTGTTGGTGCACTTGTGTGATAAATCTGCTTGTGGTGTCCAGGCTCATGGCATTGATCACCTGGTAATTCCAACGAGGGACTACCTCTTTGCCCCTTCTTTTGGTGATATCCGCCGTGCTGTGGACTTTATTCAGAGTAAGTAGGCTCTTCTATACCTTGTATGGAAGAATGCAAATTTCTCTTCTGTTTTATTCTTTTTGTAAATACAACTTGAAATGAAACTAACCCAGTCCGAAACATCTTATCTTTGTTCTTCCTTTATCTCCATAATGCAAATCTTTTTGGAAAATGAAACTCTTCCTAAGGAATTTGGCTTGGGTCAAGGCAGTAGTAGCTGGGTTTTCATAGCACTATGTCTCAAGTTCCATTCCTATGTAACCTTGTCAATATATGTATAGGAAAATGCTCGTGTAGGCCCGTTCGCGCATAGGAAAATGGTGAGCCCAACGACTCAGACCATGTCATCTTGTTTCAACACCCAGATGATACCTGGTTGGTTGCTGGCGTTTCAAATTTTAAAAACCCCATTTAATGGGTTGTCAGTTACCTGACACATCATGCAATACTATGTTGGGCCGTCTCTCTCGTTCTCTCTCATCTCACCCTCTCTACCTTTTCACCCTCTCTGTCTCAGCACAACCTCTCTCTCTACAGGTCGTTCGCCCTCTCTCTCTACAACCAAGTTGCTCTCTCCATCTCTCCCATTCTCTCGCCCATCTCACCCTCTCGTTGCTCACCTTCTCTCTCAGAAGATCTCACCCTCGCTCCCATCTCACACTTTCTCTCTCTACAACCATCGACCCAACAAATCTCACCCTCGCTTTCTCTCCCATCTCACACTCTCTCTCTGTACAACGATCGCCCCAATAGATCTCACCCTCGCTCTCTCTCTCTCTCTACAACCATCGGCCCAACAGATCTCACCCTTGCTCTCTCTCCCATCTCACCCTCTTTCTCTATATACAACCATCGGCCTCTCCCTCTCAGCTCAAAGTTGCTCTCTACAACCTGTAGCAGATCTCACCCGTGCTCTCTCTCCCATCTCACCCTCTATCTCTCTCTACAACCATCGGTCTCTCCCTCTTGGCTCAGAGTCGCTCTCTCCACAACCAGGAGGTCATGCCTCCTCTCTATCTACAACCAGAAGGTAAGGAACAATGTCAGATCTCTACCATAGTTTTACGCATTACTGGGTAAAACCCCTCAAATCTCTAAACTATACATTACAAATTAGGGCTTTTTGTTTGATAATGTATGTATGTGAGGGCTCTCCTTGATTCCCAAATCATTCCCAACACGCACTAGGTATTTTTTTCTTCATTGTTCATTGTTTTCTGCAAATTTTTGTTATTCTGTATTTTTTGCAATTAGGTGTCATTGATTCTCTTTCTAGTTTCTTTCTTATATTGTTGGTTTTTATGTTGATAAATACTTTAAACTAAGCAAAGTTTTATTGAATTTATAGGTTTCTATTCATTGAAATATCGAATTATAGTATAGCTCCAGCATCTTTTTTGTGTCAGACTTGAGGCTATGGTTTGACTGACTAATCCGGGATGGAGTAATTTGGTCTAAAATTAGGGTTTTTGTTATGGTATTTCTGTTTCTTAAAATGAAACTCTTGTTCTGAGCACTTTGATGTGTGGTTGTTTCTGGGCTATTCTTTGTTTGGAGGATCTTCCTATTTTTCACTTGATGTATTCTATGTTCTAATTTTTCTCTGATTTGATCTTTATTTATGTTATTTCTTTTTATACTTCTTTTATTACAGACATCTTGTTGTTGCATTTGTGTTTAGCAATCATATTTTTCGATGGATATTTGCTGTTGTTGCATTGCATTTAGTTGTATTTCTTTTTTCCGTGCATTTTCACATTTTGTGGAAATTTTTTTGTCCAAACAGTTTGGGACATTTGGGTTGATATCATTATAGTGTTTGGTATGATGTATCTCACACATCTTTTTTCTTCCCCTCTTGGGGAATAACTTGCTTTTTGTTTAAAAATCCATAGTTATATAAGTGAATTGCATGTATTTTTTTCATAAATGTGTTGTATTTTTTGTGGTTGTAACTTTACATACTTGCTTAGTCTAATCAGGTTTACGACAAATTTTACAAAAAGATGTTATACTTATAATTGAGCAACAATGGGAGGTGGCTTATTCGGTAATCTATGTTAGCTTGATGTTAATTCAGTTCCCGTCGGTGCATTCTCTATACACAATAAATATTTTCATATTTAGCTTTGCATTTGCAAATTGTCATGAGCTTTGTATTTTCAATGTACTATGTTCATTGACATATTTGCAATGAATGTTATGATGTGCTTGAAATACGTACTTATTTAGTCCTTCACAGTGTGGTTCTGATGCGATTATTGTAGGCCCTAACAATGTCATCTGATTCTACAAGTAATCGAGGATATACATCTCGACAATGCCCTGAGTGCAGTATAGATTGTGCTACGAAAGCATTGGCAAGCCCAAATAACTCGAATAAGATGTACTATAAGTGTCTATTATGTGGGTTCTTCCAATGGTATGATGAATGTGTTACCGCCATGCAAAATGTTAATTTAAGGCATCGCAAAACAAAACAATGGAATCCATTGCATGAATCAAAAGAACAAGTAATGCTCAATCAAAAAACAAGTGTTGGCCATGATACGATACTCGGTGCCTTTGGGTGTTTGCAACAATTTTTGTATTTCTTGTGTATAATAAATGTGTGCTTGCTTGCACTCATCTTTTTTATTTTTGTAGTGCATCTTTTTTATTTTTGTAGTTCATCTTTTTTTTTTTTGTAGTCCTTATTCGGTGCCATAGGGCAAGCAAGCACACATTTATTATACACAAGAAATACAAAAATTATTGCAAACACTAAGGCACCGAGTAAGAATTGTTGCAAATGCCCTATGGCACCAAGTATCGTATCATGACCAACACTTGTTTCTTGATTGAGCATGACACGTTCTTCTGATTCATGCAATAGATTTCATTGTTGTGTATTGCAATGCCTAAAATTGACATTTTTCACGGCGGTTACATATTCATCACACCATTGTAAGAACCCACATAATAGACACTTATAGTACATCCTATTCGGGTTATTTGGGCTTGCTGATGCTTTCGTAGCACAATCTATACTACACTTAGGGCATTGTCGAGGTATATTTCCTCGATTACTTTTAGAATCAAATGACATTGTTAGGGCCTACAATAATCGCATCAGAACGGCATTGTGAAGGACTAAATAAGTACGTATTTCAAGCACATCATAACATTCATTGCAAATATGTCAATGAACATAGTACATTGAAAATGCAAAGCTAAATATGGAAATATTTATTGACTTCACTATATGTATAGAGAATGTACCTATAGGAACTGAATTAACATCAAGCTAACATAGATTAGCCAATAAGCCACCTCCCATTGTTGTTCAATTATAAGTATAACATCTTTTTGTAAAATTTGCCGTAAACCTGATTAGACCGAACAAGTATGTAAAGTTACAACCACAAAAATTACAACACATTTATGAAAAAAATACATGCAATTCACTTATATAACAATGGATTTTTAAACAAAAAGCAAGTTATTCTCCAAGACGGGAAGAAAAAAGATGTGTGAGATACATCATACCAAACACTATAATGACATCAACACAAATGTCCCAAACTGATTGGACACAAAAATTCCACAAAATGTGAAAATGCACTGAAAAAAGAAATACAACTAAATGCAATGCAACAATAGGAAATATCCATGGAAAAATATGATTGCTAAACACAAATGCAACAACAAGATGTATGTAGTAAAAGAAGATTAAAAAAAAATAAAGATCAAATCAAAGAAAAATTAAAACATAGAATACATCAAGTAAAAAATAGGAACATCCTCCAAACAAAGAATAGCCCAAAAACAACTACACATCAAAGTGCTTAGAACAAGAGTTTCATTCTAAAAAACAGAAATACCATAACAATAACCCTAACGTTAAACCAGATTGCTCCATCCCGGATTAGTCAGTCAAACCATAGCCTCAATTCCGACACAAAAAAGATGCCGGAGCTATAACTATAATTTGATATTTCAATGAATAGATACCTGTAAATTCAATAAAACTTTGCTCAGTTTAGAGCATTTCCAACATAAAAACCAACAATATAAGAAAGAAACCAGGAAGAGAATCAATGACACCTGATTGCAAAAAATACAGAATAACAAAAATTTGCAGAAAACAATGAACAATGAAGAAAAAAATACCTGGTGCGAGTTGGGAATGTATAGTTTAGAGATTTGGGAATCAAGGAGAGCCGTCAAATACGTACATTATCAAACAAAAAGCCCTATTTTGTAATGTATAGTTTAGAGATTTGAGGAGTTTTAACTAGTAATGCGTAAAACTATGGTAGAGATCTGACATTATTCCTTACCTTCTGGTTGTGGAGAGAGGGGGCACGACCTCCTGGTTGTGGAGAGAGTGACTCTGAGCCAAGAGGGAGAGGCCGATGGTTGTAGAGAGAGAGAGAGAAGGTGAGATGGGAGAGAGAGCACAGGTGAGATCTGCTAGGCCTCTTGGTTGTAGAGAGCAACTTTGAGCTAAGAGGGAGAGGCCGATGGTTGTATATAGAGAAAGAGGGTGAGATGGGAGAGAGAGCAAGGGTAGATCTGTTGTGCTGATGGCTGTACAGAGGGTGAGATGGGAGAGAGAGTGAGATCTGTTGGGCTGATGGTTGTAAAGAGAGAGAGGGTGAGATCTGTTGGGCCGATGGTTGTAGAGAGAAAGGGTGAGATCTTCTGAGAGAGAAGGTGAGCAACGAGAGGGTGAGATGAGAGAGATGGCTGAATAGGGCACTGCATGATGTGTCAAGCAACTGACAACCCATTAAATGGGGTTTTTAAAATTTGAAACGCCAGCAACCAACCAGGCATCATCCTAGGCGTTGAAACAAGATGACATGATTTGAGCCGCTCACCATTTTCCTATGCGCGAACAGGCCTACACGAGCATTTTCCATATATATATATGTGTGTGTGTATGCGTGCTTGCGTCTTTGATTCTCTGAAAAAAGAGAATATATATCACCTTTGAATTACCTGAAAAGAGAAACAACATATTACATGCAAACTAGTTTACATATTATGGATTCTCTTTTTTGTCCTTATTTATTATAAATAAAGTTTGACGTATTAAGTGGAAAGACTGATGCTAAGTGGGTATTATATCTCACTTGCTTTAACCCCCTGCGCAAAGCAGGTGCTTCCCCCTCGTATGCATTATTTTGGTACTTCAGCTGGCACAAACTGCTTCTTGGGTATTTTCCTATTTGTTTTGTTTGGGATTTTTGTATTGATTATGATTTTTGTTGTGATGAGAGAGTGCCATTTTTGGTAGAAACATTCAGTAATGGAAGTAAATGAGGGTCGTTTTGTTTACTGCCTTTGCTTTGGCTGTTGAATTTTGCTATGCTCATAATTTTATTTTTTTCTTAGTGACAAATGAGTTTTCATTAAATTTTCTATAGATGGTATAAACTCATAAATTTTATTTTTTGAAAAAAAAACTGTTGTGAATTGAAATGATGTTTTTTCTTCTTTTTTTTCCCCTCCCTCTAAAGGGAATGCATCCTGCGGTCGCACCACATATGTGCACTGTAAAGCCGGACGTGGACGTAGCACCACCATTGTCCTCTGCTATTTGGTACTTTCTCATTTGTGGACTCTCTCTCTCTCTCTCTCTCTCTCTCTCTCTCTCTCTCTCTCTCTGCTTTCCAGTGAAATTTTTATTCAGGTACAACTGAAATTTACTGAATCATGACCCTTCATAATTTATCACCCATTAAGTTTCTTTGCCTGGATCTTGAGTGGGTTAATTATCTATGCTGGCACGATCAACTGAACTTGAAACAGCTTTACTAATGTGTGTATCAATTGTTGAACAAATCTTCATTATTTACAGGTTGAAAGTAAGCAGATGACTCCAACAGCTGCTCTAGAATATGTGAGATCAAGTAGACCTCGGGTCCTATTAGCCCCTTCTCAATGGAGGGTACATCCTTTCTTTTGTCTTTGCTATCGCTTAAATGTTTTTCAGCTGATATCTTTTGGCTTCAAGTGTGTAGTTCTTACTGATAAACCACTGTTACTAAACAAAATAGTGGGGCATATAATTTAATATAAAAAAGTAAAATAAGCTTGCAAAGTAATTTGCTACATGTGTCCTGTTGATTTTGTTAAAGTGTACCTAGTCTTTAAATGTTTGATATCCTTGTTCTTTAGTGTCTTGTTTTGTTTTTTTTTGTTCTGGAGTGGGGACATTCTGTATCTGTGTTTTATTTTGTAACACAATTAACAAATTTTCTCTTAATACAATTTTTCATTGTTAGAGTATTGAGGGCCAAGGGCAATGTCCAAGGTTAGAATTCTAGTAAACAAGGCCATAAATTCCTTCCTAGACCTGAATGATGCCTTTTCCATAATGCGTATTTTGCCTTTCAATATATCCCTAGCATTGTCCCCTTCCAAAAATGCTATTGATATGGAACAGAATTCACACTAAAAGATAACAACGGATTCCCTTAAAACATATGTAGAGGACAATGTGTGAGAAAACAAAATTTGCCCATTATTTTTTCCTGAATATGAAGACTCTTACAAATGTAACATCAAATATTCTCTTACAGGCCGTTATAGAATTTGATAGACACCGATTTGGATGCCCATCCTTTCCAATACAGTCTCCACCATGCACATTTGACGAGACCTCGATAGTCATTGTCACAAATGCTGATCTCGAGGGCTATATTAGAAGTGCTGGCTCTGATCTTGAAGGCAAGAAGGGAACAAGCATGGTATATCGGGTTCAAGTAGCCACAACCAGGACAGTGATGGGGGTGGCTAGGGCATCAGTGGCCCTTGTGAGATTTTCCTGCATATGGCTCGGGTGCCATGCTCAGCACAGAATTTTTGGTGGAAAAATAGGTGAGGCTACGATGCCTTTGGAAGTTGGTGATGGTTGCTCGCCAGTCATCAGGGAAGGGTTAATGGCGGTGACAGTGGATGTTACTGTGTGCTAGTCTCTCTCTCTCTATATAATGTTCTTGTAATGTTAACATCTCTCTGTCGAGACACTGGCTTGGAAGAGTCCATGGTTCTCAGTCTGAGAAATCCAGAAGCTCATACTGCTAATATATGGAGGTTGTACATAACACAGGCACACCTCTTTCTCTCTCTCTCTCTCTCTCTCTCTCTCTCTCTCTCTCTCTCTCATGCACACACACACATCAGTGTAATGTTAGCATATCTAAGATAATTTATGCATAATTATATTATTCAGACTTAGTGCTGGAAGCAACCATTAAATGCTTCTCTTTGTTGGCGATGCTTTGCTGTGAATGCTATACATAATATCAATTATAATTCGAATTCAATTGTAACTTGGACAAAATTGTTCAGTGGGGTAGTAATGGAACCACAAAAGGTGTCCTGGAGAGTCCTCTCGTTCATCTAGGGCAGGCATTTTCCTCTTAGGCATGTTGGCCTGCCATTACAATGCCTCCCCTGAGGCATCATACTTAAATCTGGATGTGGAGTTGTAGACCCTCCAAAAAAAGGGCAAAATCAAACGGTCTAAAAATGGACATGGTTTCGATAAGTCCCCAGTCTCATATAGAAATGCGACCCCCTTTTAGGGGGACTCATATATATGAAGTGTGGCCCCCTTTAATAATTCATTTTTTGAAATAAATTTTAACCCTAATTTTCAAAGAATATACAATCCCTAACATGGACATCATTAATTTCTGAAAGAAAAAATTTAAAGCTAAAAATGATATTTTTTTAAAGGATATATTAGAGCCATTGATTTTGATTTTACCTCTTTCTTGGAGGGACTGTTACTTATATCCATCTTGGAAGGTTTATACCACGGGGGATGTAAATGCGGTTTTATTGAACGACTCGGGTCGTGTACTTTGCCCAGGCCCAAGCCCATTAACACGAGTCCGAGTAACTCGGCCCAAGTTAGGCCAAGCACTGTACAAGCTAAATAATGTTAAATTTTTTAAAAAGAAAGTACAAAAAAGTTTCCAAAAAAAAAGAAATATATGTTTAAAATTAAGATTAAATAGGTCATCTAAATGAGGTCAAAAAATAGTAAAAAATAAATTTGAAAAATCAATTTTTGTTTGGGGGTATTTTGAAAAAAAAGAAAAAAAGAGAGAAAATATAAAAATAAGTATTCATGGTCAAAATACTTTCTAATCTTTGCCAAAATGGTGCACATAAACATGTTACATGTAATCATTTTAATATATATATATATAATATTTATTTATTTATTTATTTTATTATTTTTTATTTAGATCCCTAAGTTAAAAACGTAATTTGGGGATACTGTGGTGAGCCAAGAGTTACTTGGACGAGTTTGAGGAGACTTGCCTGAGTAGTTGAGCACTTCACAATGTAAAAATGTGTACCCGATGCATAACCTACTTTTTTAAAAAAAATTATTCTTTCAAATTTTATTATTTTAATTTCTAAAATTTGTTTACTTTTACACGTACTTGATCCCCATGTTAGGAAATATGCATAGCTAGTAAAATTAGGTCTAAAATCTATCTAAAAAATAGATTATAAAAGGGAACAAATAGCTATATGTGAGTCCTAGGACTCACAAAAATAGTATCCTTATTTAATAGGGTGTTGTTTGTATAAGGATGGGGCCTTAGACAATCAAAGTAAGGCACACCTTCAAATATTGCCAAAATATGTTGTTTCAGTATCGTAATAATTCTTTATGATAGCCTAAAAATTTATTTTCACCTTTAATTATAAAATTAAAAATTTTAAAATAGTGTAGATCGAGCAGATCTATAAACTCTTGAAAATATCGAAAATTGACGGTCTGGATAATTTATTACAAGATACATTATTCCCAATACTTGAAATCTATTTTTTCTCTTATACATATGTATTGAGGTCGAGATGATTGAAATGAGAAGTTTTTCATCATCAAAACAATCTCTTTTGGTGAATGTTTGAGGTGATCCTTAATTTAATTGTAGGTCCTCACCCTTAAATAAACTTTTTCCTATTTAATAACGCTTTTATCCTTTAATTCGGTGTCAAGTGCATACTTCACTTCCTCATGTTTTACGGCAGTAGTAGGAGTGATGGGAAAGGCGTTACTTCTTGCAATGGGGCGTTGTAAGATGGTGTTAAATGGGGCTCAGGTGTTGCCCTAATAAAGGAAGCCTGATTAAAGGTTCTAAACAATTTACATGGTATTGGATCGAAAGCTACTCCATAACGGCTTTGGCAAAAATGAAGCGTGTTTTTGTCGATAGGTTCGGCACGGTCTGATTTTTTCAAACGGCATGGTTAAATCGACCGTACAGGATATGCTATGTCCGTTGTAGTACTGCAATGGACATAGTATGTATGGTGCGGTCAATTTTTTACACTGAAAACCGCAACATCTCTACGGGAGCCGTTGCGAGGCGAAATACTATTCATTTTTGCCCTATAGCATTTTTAACACTTTTCCTATTGGATACATATCTGTTGATGAATTGGTTTTCTGGCTTGCGAAAGATATGGGGTGTTCTAAAAACCAGATTGGCTTAACCGTCTATTGATCGTAGCAGTCTAGATACTGGTCCGGACTCCGGAGAGGTGATCTGTGATAAAATAAAATTAGTAATACAAAATTAAACATGGTGGGCCGGACATACTGTGTTTTGAAATAAGAATAATTTTATATCTTTTTGTATATTATTTTTAGAAATATGGACCAATGTTTTAGTAGAGCTCGCAAGGGGCCAGGCCGGGCCTCTTTCTTTAAATTTACGAAGTGTCTCAAAACCCGGATCAATGAGGCGGATCATTTACCTAGAGATTTGTAATAAAACATTAGATAGAATTAAAGAAAAAAAAATATATAAAAAGGGTGGATTTGGGGAGAGGGACTAACGCTATACCAGAACCGGTTAGGGGGTAGATTAAGACCATACTAGAACCAATTTAGTCCTAACTTATTCTCATCTAGATCGATGATCCAGATAAAAAATTGCTAGATTTTAAACCATTGGATGACTTGGCCTAGCGAGGTTTGCCTTGATCTCTACCCATCCTAGCCTGGAATGGGGCTTGGCCCCATCATCTGAGCCAAGCCAAGCTGCTACGATCATTGTCAAAAATAAATTATTTATCATTATGTTATTTTTTAAAAGTAAAATAACGATCATTGTCAAAAATAAATTATTTATAATCATGTTATTTTTTAGAAGTAAAATCTCATATAAAAATTGCAGTTCAGTTTTGATATCACAAAACTTTCACATGGATCATCTTGACCTTGACCATTATCCATTTTCAAGTGCTCAAATATCTGTACCGTTTTTTAAGCTACAACTTCATAATTTGTTGTATAAATTTATTTTAGAACCATCATAATAATTATCCATGCCCAAAATATTTTATGGAAAAAGATTTGAAAATGATCTTTGCTTTTTTTTCACAAGGCCTAGGCCTCGCAGAAATTGTACCCCTTTTTAAAATATCAATAGAGATTCAATGATCTGAACATGCCGTACCTATCTTTATTTTTCCCATTTTCCATTTGATATAAACTTTTACTTTTGAATATATTACTCATTGTCGTTCTAAAACACATGGAAGTTGATTCCATGTTTTATTGAGAAGATATAGAGGCTTAAATTTATCTATTCCACGAATTTCTAACGCATTATCTTGAATCGCAAGAACATCATACACCGGTGGAGCATGGTGTAGACAAGAAAACACGGACTCTCTCTAGCTGACCCGAACATGAAAATTTCACACACAAACACACACTCTAGCTGACCCGAACATGAAAATTTCAAACCCACCTTCTCTCAGTGCTGCAATTATCTCATCGAGCAAAATCATCATCATCAAAGTCCTCTCTTAACTATTTAGATCGGCACGACTCCTGATCCGTCATTCTATTCTGTGAAGGCCGTCAAATCAAATAAACATTCAGAATCGAAAACCCGTCTCTAAACAAAAGCTCATTAATTCCACTATTAACAACATATTTATAGAGAGAATAAACTCACAAAAAAAAAAAAACCCATATGCAAAATCGATCTAAGAAAGGACCAACGATTCAAACATCAAGTGGGTCCTGGTAATTTGGGTCCTTCTCATCCATATATTCTCTGATATAATCTTCATTTTCTTTGAAGATTTGAGGTCCAGACCAGGTGAACTTTCCTCCATGCCCACCTTTCTTAGGATCTCCACTCATCCCAGTCGCCGATTTCCGATCACTACGGCCAGAGTTGCAGGGCTTGGATTGGGGCCTCTGCTCTTTGTTGGGTGATTTCATTGTACTCCAACTATTGGGGTAGAGAGGTCTCCAGTGTGCAAGTGGGTTGAGAGAGATGATGGGCTTATATAGAAGGGCACACTGTTAAAAACCACTGGTTTTGGAGAAAACCTGGAAATGCATGTTGCTGGTTTTGGAAGAAAAGCTTGAGGCCCTTGTCTTATGGACAATGACAAAGTTGGGCTTGGTGTCTTCAAAACCGAGATCTGTATATAAAATATGGGTCCATAAGATATCTAGGAGGACATCAGAAAATGAATAAAAGAATAAATTTATGCAAAGGATAGGTTTTAGGAGACATCTCCACCTATTTTTAATCCAAATTAGGCGACTTCTAATCAAGATCGATGGGTTTCAAAATACTAATTAAGCTCGATCATACTATAGAGATGAAAGAATCTTAGGCTAAACTTTGAGAGTGCCATGATCTACAAGTAAGAGAATGAAGACCTAGTTGTGGCCCATGTGTGAAGAGAGACAAAGTATAGATGCAAATAATTGCTTCTGCTCTATATTTGGGGTCATTGATATTAAACATACACGTATCCATGTTGTAGGAGAGAATGTAACTACTAATTAGACACAAAATTAAGAGTGTACTTGATTTCATGAAGATACAATTTCTTCTAATGTTATAGCATTTTTTTGTTTGATAACAGGGAAGTGCTACACTTAAGGTATCCATTTGTTTTATATTTAATATAAAAAAAAATAGATATCATAAGTTTCATAGGGGGACCATAGAACTTTTGGTATCTATTTCTTTAAAAAAATGGGATTTTTAAAACCACGTCTTTCAAAAATCAGCCACAATAATTTGTGTTTTTTTTTGTAAATCAGGAGGAGAAAGCACCTTACCTGTTTTTTATTAATAAAATAAAAATAAATTATAATGTATTATTTTACAACCCTATTATAGAGCAATTGTACAACATCATAAAATAAAAAAAAACAAAT